TTCGGAGGTATAAAAAGTGTGGGCAGCAGTAGTAAGTACAATATGGATGGGTCTAAAATCGAGGTGAGGAGTCAGTTTTAGTGGAATCATTTTGCTCTAATCGTTTGCTCTTTCTCCACACCATATTTCAGATAGTGGACTCAGTAGACTGCGACCGATCGATCAACCTCCTAAAAGCTTTCTATGAAAGACAAAATCCGTTTGCACCAGAGGAAAAACGGAAAGTAAAGCGAAAACCATGTGTTGATGTGTAAATTTACTTGTTATGGATTAAAATGATTACTATTTTCGGTGTTGCTGGTTGGTTTCATTGTGCAATTGCGAGGTCTATCTGCAATATTTCACTTGAAAATGGCGGCAGCCTTTATGCTTTCCTATTCGAAAGACTTTTCAGATGTCTTTGTCTCGGTTTCTACGCTTCGCTATACCCTCAACTTCGCATGCTGTTTGTAAGCCACGATTGTTGTCGCCCTCCCTAACACGGCTTCGCCTTGCACGGACTGCTTTTCAAGTGATTTCTTATCTTTTCCTACTAGCAAATCGAATGTAGCAGTCTTTTAACGAACACTTTCAATGTATAGGGTAGAGATAGTGGAGGTCACCGAGACGTACTGTACTATGTGGTTAGCCTGGGCGTTGTTGCTATCGGAGTCACTTTTGCTGCGATCCCTGCCTACAGGATATTTTGTGAAAAAACGTCATTTGGTGGCTTAACTCAGGTAGTTTATTGAGCTCTTTATTGGTTGCTGCCGTTTAAGCTGCGTTCCTTTTGTGACTGGGACTACCTGCTTCAGATCGCGGAAGATTTCGAAAGAATTGCGACAATGAAGAAGGTGGAGGACAGACTTATTCGAGTTCAATTCAACTCTGACGTTCCTTCCAGCATGCAGTGGGAATTCAAGCCACAACAACACGAGGTTTGCAACATATAGGCTTCATATGCTTATAAGGGAACCCCAACAGGACATTCAACTAAACTTACCATTTGACAAGTTGAATGAACCGTGAAGCACCGCTAGTCGCACTCGACTGACCATGAGCCGCAAATTATGAACAGTTCTAACAAGGGAACCCCAACAGGTCGATCCGGCCATTTGCAATGAGATGTATATATATGGACGTGTCTTGAGCCGCTGAATCCAAATCTGCCCTCGGAATTTGCGGAACGATTCTCTGAAGGGAGTTACGGACCATTTAATCTTTGCTCTGTTCGCACAAGTTGAGAACGATAACTGCATGGGCAAGCGGCGCGTCTCGGAAGCAGTGCGCCTATCCGATGGCGAGGTCGTATGTTGGAACCTTTGACTGCTTGAGATTTTTTGCTTTTGTTTAAAACACTTCATATGAGTCCCTAAAACACTTCTGTTTGGCCAGTTTACCTAGTTCTTTAATTATTTGACAATGGGCGGCCGATTCTCCATTTCTGGTTCCTTTTGAAAACTTTTATTATGAGGATAACCGTTTCTAGAGCTTGCATCAAGAAATGAGGATCTTACGGTTTAAGAGCACATGTGCAACTTTTTGTGGTTATGCAGGTCCGTTGCACGCAATCCATATTATCTACATTTGTTTAATATCTACTTTAACAGGAACCCAGTGGAGCTTTCCCTTCCGAAATGCATTTTCAAGCTGATAACTTGTTGGCTCCACCAAGCAAAACTCATATCATGTCTAAACAGCTTATGCTGGATTGAATTGAACCTTGTGTGGCTGCTCCAGGATACCCCCCCCCTCCAGTCGACGCTCCTCATAGTCGACTCGTGGATTTCCTTTATAGATCATGAATCCATTCGATCTGCTCTGCCATCTAATAGATATGTGAAAGTACTCAATATACCACCAGGTGCAACATCCTCGATTCAACCTTTGACACGTACTTCTTCCTACCGTTCAAAGCTATGAATAAGCGCTTATGTATTGGCCCATAATATATTTTTTCAATACATGAACGGCACTCCACTCCGTCTTTTATCTCTAGTCTATTTTCAAGTTTGCTCACCTAGATTCAGAAACTTCTTATCCTAATCTTGGTATTCGGCTGGATACTTTGAAATTCCTGGTAGATTTTCAAACACCTCCAGTACCGCTTCCCCTCTGGACTGGTGGAGAACTGTAACTGTACCGTGTGTGGAGAGCACTTTGTCGTTCGCTGTGCTCATTGCGAGAATTCGTATTATTTCTATCATTTTGTGGAAGGATACCACATGTGCTCTTAAACCGTAAGATCCTCATTTCTTGATGCAAGCTCTAGAAACGGTTATCCTCATAATAAAAGTTTTCAAAAGGAACCAGAAATGGAGAATCGGCCGCCTTCCATTGTCAAATAATTAAAGAACTAGGTAAACTGGCCAAACAAGTGTTTTAGGGCTCATATGAAGTGTTTCAAGCAAAAGCAAAAAACTTCAGCAGTCAAGGGTTCCAACATGCGACCTCGCGTCTCCGAAGCAGTGCGCCTATCCACTACGCCATCGGCCGCCTGCCGCATGCAGTTATCGTTCCCAACTTGTGCAGACAGAGCAGGTATTAAATGGTCCGAAACTCCCTTCAGAGAATCGTTCCAAATTCCGAGGGCGGATTTGGATTCAGCGGCTTAGACACGTCCATGTATATACACCTCATTGCAAATAGGCCGGATCGACCTGTTGGGGTTCCCTTGTTAGAACTGTTCATAATTTGCGGCTCATGGTCAGTCGAGTGCGACTAGCGGTGCTTCACGGTTCATTCAACTTGTCAAATGGTAAGTTTAGTTAAATGTACCGTTTGGATGTAGATCTGGGGCTCATATAATTCAGAGGGGTCACTGCTGTGTGGCTGTCTGACTGCTGTGTTTGCTAGACTGGGAGATGCGGTCGCCTGCACGACGCCAGTCGTTTTCACAATATGCCTTTGTGAGGAGATGGAACAAAGACGTGCCACCGCGTGGCCCTTTCGAACTGAATCAGCGTCACGAAGTATTGCCAACGGGCGAAAATGCAATATTTTTCTCTGCGGATGCTGGGGCGTGTCAGGGACAAGGCTTTGACGCCGCGAAAGCACGTTTTCCACTAATTGTGGTCGTCTGATAGCTTCCGCAGTTGGTGGAGAATAGGCTTACGCAGTTACTGCCAACCCGGCTCCCTTGATGCGCCCAGCATCCTCACGGAACAAGTCTGTAGATGTTAGAAACGCAGGAGCAGGTGTGATTGAGTTAGGAGTTGCAGCTATAGAGTGACCGTAATTAAGCGCTGTCAGCAGCACTCGCACGAATCACGAAGTATGAACGCATCTCTGTTTTAGTATCACAACTTAAGATCCATGGGGCTTGAACTACAACTCACGTAAACACACTCATTCTCACTCTCGTGCTTTTAGATGTATGTTCATCCAGGAGAGACGGCTTTGGCGTTTTACACTGCGAAAAACCCAACAGATCGTCCGATCATAGGCATATCGAGCTATAATCTTACGCCATTTCAAGCAGCATATTACTTTAACAAAATTCAATGTTTTTGTTTTGAAGAGCAAATCCTGAATCCGGGTGAACAAGTGAGTTCCAGTCTCTCTTCGCATTTGTAACTCCGTATTTAACTGAACGCAGTTTTTTGTTCCAGGTGGATTTGCCAGTCTTCTTCTACATAGATCCGGATTATGCCAACGACCCTGCTTTGGAGTATTTGGATAATATTCTTCTTAGTTACACATTCTTTGAAGCGAAGTCTGGTCTTCAGCTGCCGAGTCCCTTCGACCCCAACAACCGGCCAAAGGTAAGATTTATTTCTATTCGTTGCTTGCTATGACTTGAATTTTTGAATTTTTCGTGTTTATTGGATGTTTTAGGCTCAACTAGAGGCGAAACCAAAAGCATCCGCGAGTTAGCAAAATACGAGTGCAAGTATAAATTGTTTATAGCTTTTACAGTTTAGGCTAGATAGTTGTTGATATGTAGTGATTGCTAGTCCAGAATGTTGATGTTTTTGGGCGCAGTTCGCCTTGGTGAGGGCATTTCGCTTGTTCCTATCGATCATAGCGATGTTTCTGTGGCACGTGTAAATTCACTGTAAATTCACTAGTTTACAATTGTCTCTACAGGTCTCAAGAAGGTAACATGTAGTCTGTTGGCAAATGTAAACGAAACTACCAACAGGAACTCACAGAAGAAACTAGCGTAAGTGCAAAATGCCCCTCCCAAGCTGAACGGCGCCGTTTTTCGCTATGAGAGATGACGATTTATTTTTGTTTACGACTGAGTTTGTTGAGTTGTGA